GCTCAGTGGTAGAGCGCTTGCCTAGCTTGGGTTCGATCCTCAGCACCCATAAAAATAAATAAATAAAAAGGTATATTTTCCAAAAAAATTTAAAAAAATAAACCCATACATCAAAACAAGAGGACAAGTTCACTCATGGCTGTTGGCAGGAGGTTTTGGTTCCTCATCTGGGGTCCTCTCCACAGCTTTGTTCACAGCACAGCCCCAGAGCAAATCTCTACCAGAGAGTGTGCGAGTGAATCCAAGACAGAAGCCACCATCTTTTTATAATCTTATTTGGAAGTGACATTGTGTTGCTTCTGCCATATGTTGTTGTTCACATAGACCAACCCTAGACAGTGTGAGAGGGGTTGACACAAGGTATACATTCCAGAGATAGAGACCACTAAGGTTCACATTAGAAGCACAGACGGACTCCATATCTAGCCAGTATTGTTGTAAATTAACATGGCTTTCTGAAAGGCAGTATGTGTCGATCTTTAAAATATTCCTTTTTTGATTTTGAGAAGGGGTCTCGCTATCTTATTTTGGTTGGTGTTAAACTTATGGGTTCAAGCAATCCTCCCGCTGAAGTCTCTTGAGCAGCTAGGACTACAGGGCATGTCATCACACCTGGCTTTCAACATTCATGTATTTTGGTCCAGTAAATTAATTTCTAGAAATCCATGCTAAGAAGATATGGAATGTAGACCCAAAAAATGTAAATAGAAGTTACTTCCAGTATTGTTTTGAATTAGCAAAAAACTAGAGACAATCTAAATCCAACAATAAGAAAATGAATTTTCATATGTTTGTAGTGGAATTTTTTAAAACAACCACAACTATTACTTACAAGGAATTTTTGAGGAGAAAATGCTTATAAAAATGTTCAGTGTAGGGCTGGAAACAAGTGACACATGCCTGTAGCCCCAGCTACTTGGGAAGGTGAGGCAGGAGGATCCCTTGAGCCCAGGCGTTTGGGGCCATCCTGGGCAGCATAGTGAGACTCCATCTTTTAAAAACAGATAGACAGACACAGCAAGGCGCAATGGCACACACCTGCATCCCAGCAAATCAGGAGGCTTGGCACAGAAGGATTGCAAGTTCAAGACCAGCTTTGGCAACTTGATAAGATCCTGTCTTAAAATGGCTGGGTATGTAGCTCAGTGGTAAAGTACCTCTTCATCCCAAGTACCATATACAATAAGTACAAGATTACATAATGATTCTGACAAACAACCCCTGTTCCCCACATGCATCCATCTCCATATAAATAAAACTGTAAATAAATATCAACAATTAACATATTTGCAATATCGCAGTGAATTTTATATTCCCTTTGTTGTTGTTATGCTGAGGCAGTCTCACTATGCTGCCCAGGCTGGTTTCCAACTCTTGGTCTTAAGCAATCCTCCTGCCTCAGCCCCCCAAGTATCTGGAGGCAACAAGCATGAGCCACTGCACCTGACTTATATTTATTTACTTATTCATTGTATAAGTAAATTACTTATAAATTACTTTGTGGTTTGAATTACTAATACCCACTACTTATATACTCAGGGAAAATATACCATTTTAACACAGATAACTAGGCCAAAAATTGGTATTATGGGCTGAATGTTTGTGGCCCTCTCCCAAATGCACATATTGAAGCTCTAAGTCCTAATGTAATGGGATTAGGAGGTGGAACTTTGGGAAGTTAGTAGGTTTACATGGGCCTTAAAGTTGTAGCCTTACAACTTAGGGGAAGGGAAAGAGACTTCCTTTGTCTCCCCTCCATGTGAGAATACAGTCAGAAGGCAGCCAACCTTCCACAAGCCAAGAAGAAATTCCTCACCTAAATTCCTCATCTAAATCTGCCAGCAACTTGGTCTATGACTTTCCATTTCCAGAGCTGAGAGAAATAAATGAGAGTTGTTTTAAGCACTCTAGACTATGATATTTTGCATAGTAGTCCAAGCTAAGACAGATGGAAACAACTCAAGGGTCCATCAACAGATGACTGGACAATTAAAAAGTGGTACAAACAATGGAATATTTTTCAAAAATGAAATTTTGACATTTGCTACAAGAAGGAACTCCAAAAACATGCTAAGTGAAATAAGCCAATACAGAAGGACAATATTACATAATTCCACTTCTCTGAAGTACTTAGAATTGGTAAATTCATAGAGACAGAAAGCAGAAGAGAAGTCACCCATGGTGGGAGGAAAAGGAGGATATTATGGGTATAAAATTCCTGTTTGGAATGATGAAAAATTTCTGGAAATGGATAGTGGTGGTTGCACTGATGCTACTGAATTGTGCACTTAAATATGTTGACCATGGTAAATTTTATGTTATTTTAACATAACTTTTAAATGTGTACATCTAGTAGGTAGAGACTACAGGATTTAAAAACCAGTTGGAAATAGAGAATGAGGAAGAAGGATGAATAAAGGAAGACATGAATGTTACTTTGTGGGAGATGAAGAAACAGTGGCGGCCTTCCAGGTAGAGCTTTCCATGTGAGGCATTGTGTCTGTTTTGCAATGTGAGGTCTGAGGCAGCTCTTGGACATCAGTATCTATAAGGTGTTTGGAAATCTGGTGAGTAGGCAGGAGATTCAATACAGATTTCTGTCTCCTGATTTCATGCTTTTATGGGACCAACTGAGTCGGACAGCTGGACAACCATGTAGTCTGGGGTCCCTGGCCTCAAGACCAGCCTCAGCTCTCACTCTGACACCATATTCAAACTTTAAATACAGGCTATATCACCACAGTCAAGACTTGCTTTTGGGGGCTAGAGTTGTAGCTCGGTAGTAGGGCGCTTGCCTAGCATGTGTGAGGCACAGCCTATAAATAAATGAATTAAATAAAGATCCATCATCAACTAAAGAATTTTTTTTTTAATTGCTTTTGCAACTCTGGTCCTTTCCGTACAGATAACCCAAGACTGGAAATAGTGCTCACCTGTCCTTGTGTCCTGGATTATCAGTCTAGGACAAGGTTTTAGGAATACAGATATGTGTCCAAACTGCTCTAACTGCTGAAAACTTCAGCTTACAGGGGGCTCAGTGAAGTGGGGGCAGGCTGTGCAAAGTCAACCTGGAGAAAGGCCACCGCAAAGGCATCCTTCTTTATAGCAGCTGGAGACTCCTACCAGCATCTTCAGGCAGGGCCACTGGGTACACTGGCTTAGGTAAGGAAGCAAGCCAGGCATGTTAATAATCTGAGCATCGGGAATGATGCAATAGATATTTCCAAAGCATTCATGTTGGGCTTTATAGGCTGAACATTTCTAGGTAAATATGATTTGATTCTGTGAATAAAGCCAAGGTTGTTCACGTGCAAATTTTATCGTACATGTTACTGTGGCTCATGATCTGCACAAAATCATTTTTCAAGGATGCATACTGTTTGTAGACAGATTTAGTTGAGAAATAAGTATGAGTGTGAGAGGTCACGTCCTAAGTTATTGTGGTGAGAAAAGCAGACAAGAATTGCAAAGTAGCATACAGACAATTGGATATGGTAATTTTTTTTTTAATTTTTAAAAATCAGCAAATCAGAATTGAAAAAGAATAAAATAATGGTCAGGCAATGGGTAATGGGTCCCAATTAAGGTTTATTCAAAGGCAGAGTCCAGGAGGCTAACCCTTAGAAATATTAATTGGTACCATCAAGGCCTATTTCAAATGTAAAAGACCATGAGGCTTACCTGTGGGAACACTCCAGCCAACTCCTTTGTCCCAGAGAGGCGGGAAGATGGAAGGTGGGAATAAACCCAAATGGGAGTTACAGGAAGGACTAAAACTCAGGCTATGGAGGAGGGAGGGGAAGGGACAGGATATGGGTTTAGGAAAGATGGTGGAATGAGACATAATTACCCTAAGTACATGTATGAAGATGTGACTTTGTTTACAGAGACATGAAAAATTGTGCTCTATATATGTACTATGAATTGAAATGCATTCTGCTATCATATATAACAAATTAGAATAAATAAATAAATAAAAAGAAAAACCCCTCAGGCTAAAGGACACAACCAATAGCCTTGATACTTTTTCAATGCCTGATTAACACAGATTTTGATCAATTCTCACATCCCCAAACCACATAAGCCCCTAAACTAGCACATCAAATTTGGTTTTCCTGCTGTCAGGCCATGCCCCCTCCCAAACATTTTAGTTCAATCTCTTCTCACTTAAATAAATCCTACTCCATTTATTCCTCCTTTCCAGTATTATCTGGGGATTTTATTCTTCCGATTTGTGAGACAAGACCCAGAAGGAAATTTGTAAAGGGGAATCTAGCCTCATCTCAAAACTCCAGTTTCAAAATAATTAAGGGAAGTATTGAAGGCTGCTGCTGTGCACACCATAACTTCTTGTGCCGATAGGAACAGAATTTTTGAACAACCTATATTAGAATTATATTAGAAGAGAGAAATGTCAGCTATAAAAATATTTGCTGAGGGCTGGGGCTGTATCTCAGTAGCAGAGCACTTGCCTGGCATGTGTGAGGCACTGGGTTCAATCCTCACCACCACATAAAAATAAATGAAAGAAAGGCATGCTGTCCACCTACAACTACAAAATAAATTTTTAAAAATGTATGGTGGTTCAGATCGTAGCTTATAATCAGACTGTCCTTAACTTGGAAAGACAATGACTGGCTGGAGGAAAGATATGGTCAAGAGTTCTTGGAATGAGGCCAGAGAATATTTTTGTCCTAGGGGAATGCTCAGCTAAAAGCCTTTAGTGACTTTAATCATCGGAGTCAAAATGACCTCTTTATGAATGTCAATCAGCCTTCTTTTCCTGCCACCCCAGTGCTTGTTGAACAGATCCATGTACAAAGTGGCTAAGATGGCAGGGATGAGGCCCTGCATGGCCTCAAGTGGACCACCTCTCAGTCCTGACAGCAGCTGTGACCACCCTGTATGTCCACAACCTAGGAGGACCAGCCCACACCTCTTGCTGGTTGATTGTAACTGACTCTATCCTATCACAATGGCAGGGAAACATCCTGGAATTGGATTAAATTTGTCTAAAATTTGTCCTCTGAACTTCTGCCAACACCACCATTCATTGACTTACTAATGCTTTTACATTTTTTATATTACGCCATTCGACAATGGCTTCTGATCACGTCACTTACTCTGTAGTGAAGAGTAAGTCAGAAGGCGACCTGCGGAATTCACTGGATTGAACATAAACATTTATAGTCCTGAAACAGCTGACCTTTTGTGAGGACAACTCCTTTATGAGGCTGGAGTACTGCCCTACCAGATACAGTGTATTTAGCATATGCTGTGAACCAGTGACCACGGTCCTAATATGAGGATCTGAGAACCAAAGGGCAGAGGAGAATGGCCTTAGTTTCATACCCAGTGACCCACAAAATCATTGCTTCCATTCTCTGTGACTGTAGGCTTTGCTGGTTTAGAGGTAACCAAGAAGAACACTTTTACAGAGAAGGGTTATGATACTGGTTCAGTGAACTGATTCTAATATAGGAATATACAAAGTTGCTTATACACAATTGGTGATGGGTAAAGTAAGGATAGAACCTTGTGAACTATGACAAAATTTAATGGAAAATTCTGTAGCCTTAAGACAGGAAGGCCTACCAATGGCTCAGATGGGAAAGGTTTTTGGTCATCCACCTGGGAAAGGTCTCTAATCCACTGATGCACTAGCTAAACTCAGAGGAATACAGGATGAGCAATGAAGCAGAGAACTAAAAAAATATCAGCCATGGCCTCATGATTAGCTACATAAAGAGCAACTGCCTGTACATCCTTCAGTGATGCCTCCCATATTTTTTGTATGTTTTAATTAATTTTCTTCTTTTTTCCTTTTCCCTTACCCAATTACCACAGTTTAATGTCAGATACACAGTTTGTACTGACAGTGATTGACTTAACAATATCAAGAAGAAATTATACTGCAACTGAGAGAGGAAGAGATATCATTCAAAGACCCAAGACTTGGAGCTGGATGTGGTTTGTCAGGGAGATATGAAATTATTTCTGGTTGAAAGGCTAATTAAATTTATTTGAACTGTGTATACATTCCATACTTCCTGAAATAAAAAAGGCAGATAATAGAATATTTTTTCTCCAGAATATTAAAAAAGTTCCTCAGCATAAAACATGTCAAATGCTAGAAAGATGCTGAATATGCAACTGTGGGTTCCAAGAAATTTATTTAATTACATCTCTATTATCTTCAAACAAGAAATAAATTACTAACACCACCTATCCACTATTATTTTATTAAATATTTTTAATAATAGGATATACAATACAGATCTTGTAAATGTCTCAATTTATTCGAAGTGTTAATTTCAAGTAATCCTGATTATTACATAATCACAACATTTACTGATCTGTGGATTTATAAACCAAATTTGTGAAATTAAAAAGAAATTTACAGACACCATTTTTTACTGTCACAATATAGGGACAAGTCATACACACACACATATACACACACACACACACACTCACTCACAGGCACTCAGGCACACACATCAGGAGAATAATTTATGCTAAAGTTACTTTCTGTCCTGGTCGAAACATTGTTCCACTTTGACTTTTTCTCTTCTTTGGATTTTGAAAGTTTTCATACCTTAAAAAAGTAAGAGATAATATTTAGTAAATGTAAACAATGTAACTACAAAAAAGATAATGCATTGTTTGTAAACAGAATTGCCTATATGCAAGTGAATTCTTTTTGAGATGAGGTATGCTCCATTGCCAAGGCTGACCTCATACATGTAAGCTCAGGTGATCTCCCTGCCTCAGCCTCCCAAGTAGCGGGGACTACAGGAACATGCCACTGCAGCCAGCCTAGAACTGTATTTTGTGAAAGAGAAATAATGAACTAGAAAAAATTAAAATGCTTACAAATAAATTTCCAAAGCTGCACTCTTAACAGAAAAAAAGAACAAAGGGAACGAAGATCCAAGTTAGAAAAGGTAAAATACAAATGGTGCAAGGTACAGTGGCACACACTTGTTAATTCCAGCTATTCAGAGAGCTGAGGGAGAAAGATTCCAAGTTTGAGGTGAGTGTAGGCAACTGAATGAAATTCTGACTCAAAAAAGCAAATAGCTATGAATAATATAAAAAATTATAACTGTTATAGGTTTAGTCAAAGAAATATAAATTATTAAGCAAAATATATTTTTTCTCCAATGAAACTGGATAAGATTAGAAAAAACACTGCAACAACCTGGGTTAGTGAGCTGGCACTTACATACTGCTGCTGAAATACACATTGTAACAGTAATTCTTGGAAGGCAATTTGGCAATATATTTTGAAAATGTTAAAAAATGTGAGTACCTTGTAATGCAACAATTCTACTTCTATCCCAGTGAAATACTTAAAGGTATGTGCAAACACTTAGTCATCTTATGTTCATTAATTACCACACTGCTAATAACAGTACAATCTGGAAGTAATTTAAATGTCCATAAATAGGATATCATGACATTGCTATACCATAGAATGACATTTAAAAACAACATAGTAGGGGCTGGGGTTGTGGCTCAGTGGTAGAGGACTCAACTTGCACGTGCGAGACCCTGGGTTTGATCCTCAGCACCACATAAAAATAAATAATATTAAATAAATAAAAGTAAATAAAAACAAAGTAGTAACCTCCTTAAAATGTAAAAGAATGTTCAAGATGTATGGATGGCTTAAAAGGGGGGCAGCTATAGAATAATATGTGTGAAGTGTTCTCATTGTGTTAAGAAAAAATATATAAGCATACAAGATAAGTAATTAAGGAAAACTACTGTTTCCTTATTTTTCCCATCTTTGATTTTATATTTTTCTACAATAAGTATGTAACTGATGTATGTGTACACATATACTTCGCCAAAGCACTGCAAAATTGAGTTGAAACATTCTTTTTTTAATATTTTTTAGTTGTTAATGGACCTTTATTTTTTAATATTTATTTTATAGTTATAGGTAGACACAATATCTTTATTTTATGTGGTGCTAAGGACAGAACCCAGTGCTTAAAACATGCTAGGTGAGTGCTCTACTTCTGAGCCACAAACCCAGCCCCTTTATTTTATTTATTTATATGTGGTGTTGAGAATTGAACCCAGTGCCTCATATATGCTACACAAGTGTTCTGCCACTGAGCCACAACCCCAGCCCCCAAATATTTATTCTTTTTTGGGGTTGGTGGTGCTGGTGATGGAACCTAGGGCCTTGTGCATGAAGGCAAGCACTCTACCAATTGAGTATATCTCCAGCCCCCGAAATATTTCTTCTTGAGAAACCAGAAATAAATATGTGAATCACTGTTGTAGAATGATTCCCAGTTGCTGGATGCAGTGGTGCCATGGCTGTAATCCCAGTGGCTCAGGAGACCGAAGCAGGAGGATCTTGAGTTCAAAGCTAGCATCAGCAAAAGCGAGGTGCCAAGCCTCTAAATAAAACTCAGTGAGACCCTGCCTTTAAATAAAAATGTAAAAAGGACTGAGGATGTGACTCAGTAATCGAGTGTCCCCGAGTTCAATCCCCACTATCAAAAAAAAAAAAGAATGGTTACGAGTCTCAGCCTCAAAGGTGGACAAAGAATCAATCACAAGAAGGCTATAAATCCCATGTACTAAATATGATCAACAAATGAAAAAATGTGAATGTGCTGTTTTTTGTTTTTTTGTACTAGAGATTGAACCCGGGGCCATTTAACCACTGAGCCACATCCCTACCCCTTTTTATTTTGAGACAGGGTCTTGCTAAGTTGCTTAGGGACTCAGTAAGTTTCAAACTTGCAATCCTCTTGCCTTATCCTCCTGAGTTGATGGGATTACAATTGAGTGCCACTGTACCCAGCAAATGTTTCTGATATTAAAAAATAAAATTATTTTGAAAGTGAGGTGTATTTTTTCACAAATCTTACCATATAATTAGAATCATTTACAGCTTTTAATTTTTCTCCTTATTTCTTCAAACTTTCTAAAACTGAATCAGTTCATTGTAAGTACCCACTCACTTCTTCTTCTTCAGTGCTGGGCATCAAACTCAGGGATTCAGGAACGCTAGGTGAGCACTTTACCACATCCCCAGCCCTATTTTGTATTTTTTTTTTTAATTTAGAGACAGGGTCTCACTGAGTTCCTAAGCACCTTTTGAACTTTCGATCCTCCTTACTCATCCTCCCAAGTTACTGGGATTACAGGTGTGCACCACTGCGCCTGGCTCCAAACCTGCAATCTCCTCCTTTTTCAGTCTTCTGAACAGCTGGGATTAAAAGTTGAATTAGCCTTTAAATATTCAAAAATATTATTTTTGGTTTTAAACAAGAACTTTAAGTGAATAATGATGTCACCTATGATAATATCTATACTTAAATCAGAATCTGTTACTTACAGCTCAGCAAAATTCTTCCAATCATCTTCACTAATGGATGGTCTTGTGTGACCAAGAGCAGTCATTAAATGTGAGTGACTGATAGCTAATAAACAGGTTTTGATTGGTCCTGGCTGGTTAAGAGATTCATCCTCCTTCAATAAAGAACAAATCAACAAAAAAATTAACTTAGGGATATGATGAAAAAAGTTAACAATCCCATCATTCTTCTTGTCAGATTTTTCAGGCGATCACACATTCTCTTTCCTATAACTAAAAATTATTTGAAAGCATTTGACTGAGTCAATGCATTTCAGTACCTTGTTTATAAATATAGCTCATTCATAAGTCAAAGAAATGTGTATCAAAAAAGGAAAACAAATTCTTAAATTCTTAAAAATTTTTAACAATTTTAATGAGGAGGGGAAAAAAAGCCATACTCCACTTTGGCTCCGGTATCTGCATTTGATGATACTGATATCTGCCCTCAACTGATCTCTCTGTTCTTGTGTGAGTTCTGGGTAACCTTCCTGTGAAGCTGTTCTAATCACTGGTGGTTGTGAAAACAACTGATCTTTCCCAAGAAGTCCAGGCAAATCCTGAGTCATGGAGCTTGGTGCAGAGAGACACTGTGAGCTCTGTACGTTAGGAAGAGTAATGAAAGAAGAGAGAGAGAAAAACAAAATAAAACTATGTGTTTATCAAACAAAAAATTAAACATTTTAAGCAATAAACCATGACAGCGATGACATTTACCTTGTTTTTACTTTGGTTACTAGGGATTAAGGCCAAGGGCACTCTACCACTGACTTATATCCCCAGTCCTTTTCATTTTTCAATTTGAGACAAAGTGTTACTTTGTTGTTAAGAGTCTCCTCAAGTTGCTAAGGCTACCTTCAAACTTGTAGTCCTCCTGCCTTAGTCTCCTGAGTCGCTGGGATTACAATGCATGTGTCTCTGTGCCCTGGCTAAGTACACCTTTTAATTCACTGAAATTAAGCAAATATAAAAGATATTGCTATTCTAAATATCTATATTATAGAACTACCACAGACTGAAAACTACCATAGCATAGGGGTTTGGTTTTTTAAATGCTTTGCTATTTAAATGCACCATTAATGACCAAAAACAGATTTCAATATGCCTTTCTCTTCCTTTTTGGCAAAGAGAGTTATACAAAGGTTCTGGGGCATTTCGAGGTAGAAGTTAAGAACCAGAGAACAGAATTAAAGACTATAATTAAAACAATACCTTACTAATCGTGCGAATAAAAACTTTCATATTTTTAGAAATCTGAATTAATAAAATGTACAAAAAATGTAACTAAATATATGTAAAAATGCTGTAAAGCAAAAAGCTTACCATTATTAATTTTGGGGGGGATATCCATTGAGTGTATTTTGATTAAGTAGAAAAACAATGCTATTGCTTACATTTAATTTAAATACTTTGTTGATAGATTATATTATTTCATTGTTTATATTTTCCATGAAAAAAATTATAAATAAATAACATTTTGTTGTCAAGAATTTTTGACATTATTATATCGAATTTTTCATTATCCTCAACTATTCTATAATAATAAAATTTAGGTTTACTATAAAATGATTTAGCTAAGTAGAAAGGTTTTAAAACCAGCAGGGAAGAGAGGTATGTAACCTACTATTTTGATGGAGTAAAAGGAAAAGAACACCTGGACTTATTAAAAGGCCAGGGCCCACTGATTTATCAACATAGACTGGCTATCCCATTTTAGTTTACCTCCTGGCTGGTTTGGGAAGTCCTTCAACCATCAAATAGATATAGATTTAGGAAAACTAGAAAGGTCAATCTCCAAACTAAAGGTTTCACTAGAGTCTCTGACAGAAATAGTCTTACAAAACAGATGAGGTCTAGATGGTCTCTTTCTGAAATAACTAGGACTTTGT